TAATTTAATCTTAAACTATTCCAAAAGTTGGTATTCCCAATATCTATGCTATCTCGATTACTATCTCAATGCAAAATGAACTGAAACAATTACACTATTGTAAATTGTAGTATATCTTACAGTTACACTTTTACATTTAAAATAAGTAGTACTGGTATGTCATGTGTACAGCGACATTTATTATTACGATAGTTAAGATTAGGCAACCAGGCCTATACTGTATATACTTCAGTATGTATAAAATCTTTTAGGTCCATTTTGCTCATTATATTTATCTAATACTTATGGAAGGCTGGTTTACGTAATATGTAATTATTACGGTGTCATAGATGTGTTCAATGCATATCTGGGACAATAGGTTCAGACAAAGGGGATCCCCATGGAGGTCTTGGAGGGGACCCCACTGGGGAAGAAGTCACGAACTCTTCAACCAGCGTGGATAAGTGCACATTATCATTGACTATACACAGTCTATATTCTGTGTATAGTCAATGACATTATACTGCATTCAAAAGTTTATTCTCGCCTCACATCCACAAGGTTTACCCCTTACTTTTTTAGATTGTCATTTTCTTTTAGATACTCAGCTAAATATCATGGAATTCTCCTTTAAAACATTTCAATATTTTAAAAATCTTCCAGAAGCGATAGACATTTTGTATAAGAAATTATAAATGTAATAAAGGGTTTAAAGTTGAAGATTATAATCGCACAAATACAATTTTATTACAAATCCTTGTTTTAAATTCAACAAAGGAAAAGTAACAACAATAACAAGTATCAAAGATAACACATGTCAGCAATTATGGAACAATGGTAAAAATGCACTCAAAAGAAAGAACATAAAAAGACAGAACAGAAGAAATTAACCATTATTTTATCTTATCAGCTAAATCATACTCTTAACAATAAATCTAAATAATCTTAAAACTAAGAAGCACAAAAGTGGCATGAAAGATGGGGTACACTGAAAAGCGTTGTAAGCCCCTACACCATCAACTCAGATGGGAAACATTCTTCAAGTTATAACAAACTAGCGCATGTCAGAATTTAGCTTTATTTTTGCACAGAGTAAAACATTAAATATGAAACGCAGAGAAGCTAGCAGGGATGAAAACACAGTTGTAAATGTCTAGCCCAAGAACCCCTCCTGAACACGTGGGCTCGCAAATGTCCCGTAATAAAATTTACAACCAACTAACAACTTTTGGCGAAATGCGTCGAAGGCCTGAGTCGAAAAGTACAGCCCTCATTGGGATTCATACACACAATCTCCTATAAGATGTATTTGGAAATTTTGAGCCTGGTATAGTAAAATTGAAATAAAACTTCAGATCATCTGATGGAAAAATAAATTCCAAGGATTTGCAAAATAATCTTACCCTAACCACCTTATAACGGTATAAAGGAATTACCAGGATAGATTTAGCAAATGATAGATTAGTGATCTGAAGTTATCAACGGATTATACCTCAGTCTAATTTTCTAAGTTAAACCATATAGTTACCGTAAGAACTTCTCACGGCTTACTCTATGTGTACCGTAATATAATTATCTTCCCGCTTACTCTATGCGCTTTGAGACATTTTTCTGATTACTCTAATCACTCGGACTTATTTGTCTGCTTACTCTGTGTGCTTCGAGATATTCCCCCGGATATTCTACGTTCTCTGACACATTTCCATGTTTACTCTGTGCTCTGATCCATTACGCTCATACTCTATGAGCTCTGAGTCGCGTGGGTCAAGAAAGGCTCTATTACAGCTGGAATGTTGCCCATGTGAGTTGTCCATGTGTACAGTTAATCAATAAGCAGGCGCTATGTACAAGAAAGGGTCATTGACAGCGATTTAAGACGGAATCACCCGAAAACGCACGACAGTTGCCGAAGTGCCACCGCAGAGTTGCGTCAACTTACTGTGGTTTGCCTCTGTTTATGGTGATAACCTAATATCAATACTGTTGCTATGAGTAAGAATGTTCTAAGCACACTGGACCATTTAAAATATCTTTACCATGTGCAATGGAATATGAAAGACAACCCATCCCCAAAAAATGCATAATACCCAGTACATAAGTTGCTGATCCACACAACTTACCTTCCAATATTTTACACGGGGATTCGAATATATATATTCAGTGTTGAGAATTCTATCTACAATCTCATAGTTCACTAGATAAAATACCTAGAAATATCAGGTGTATGATTGGTTTTTGACGTTAAGATGGAGGAATTTCTCTATACCCAGCAACAATAGTTTGAATAATACAAATGCAAGCAAATCCTACTATATACTGAGTCTTGCTCAAACAACTATAATAGTAAAATTATATTAATATTGCTAAAGCTTTTGTTAACAATCTCAAATACTAGAGGAAAATACTTTGGGGCCTGCTCATGGAATAGGGAGGGAATTTTTAAAACCTATTTTGTATTAATGCGATCTGTGAATGCTTTACATTTGGAATAATATTGTAGAGGTTAAACATTAGATTAGGACGTTATATTTGGTGTCGAATTTGATCCAGCAAATACGCAATCGCCCAGAACATTCCGTAGCCGTGTACAATACTTCCCGAGAAGTCTAAAGAGGCCATCGCCACCGAAAATTGCGCAACGTAGTCCTGGTATAGTGACTCACACTAACAGGACCACTGCGCACCATAGTCTACGTCATTGAGGGAGTTGGATAATACGTAGGTCTAGGATAATTTTAATAACTTAAGTTCGATCAGGATAGACATTATGGGTACATACTTTGAGCTCAGGACAAAGTGCAGTTGTATAAACGTTACGTTTGATTCAGGCTTAAGATAAGGACGCAGGAATCAAGGTATGACTACGATGCAGTTAAATACATGTGTATGATACAAAACCTAGTAAATACAAGTTATCATAGATCTGGATACAACTAAGGAATAAAAACACACGGTGGATCCTGTACAGAAGACCAGGAACTGATAAGGGAAACAACACAAGGGATAAGGTACTGATAAGGACACACCAACTGTTGTGGTGGCCCAGGATAGTGTTAGTAGATGGAGTAGTGGAAACTTTATCAAATTCAATGTTTTATGTTCAATGTTATTCAATGTTCCAAAATATATAGTTATGTGTTATTGATATGGACCGGGACAAGATTATTAGGGTGGAGAATTCGTAAGAACAGAGAACATATTAGGACATATATTTGGCTTTGAACATAATGTGTCCCTCCAAATCGAAGACCAAGTCTAAGGGGCGCGTGCAGTCAAATACACGTAAATACATGTATAGAACATATGTTTAGGTGGGCAAGAACTAACAGGAATACTTCAGACTTAGCTCAAGAGATTTGGAAGGTAAACATACAATGAATAACTTATGTCTTAGCTGTTTGTAATTTAAGACGTAGGGAAATCCCAATGTAATATCACCTGGCCCTTGTCTGAAAAGCTTACTACACGTGCTTTGTAGCATAAATTCTAATTCGTTTTTTATGACCCTACTCTATCTAATTTCAATCACCGCATCTTGCAAAACCATCTTAAATACTTGTTTACCGAAATTAACGACAATTAACCACTTCCTTAGTCCTAACGCGACCCTTCCATGCTTATACTATGAATTGACAACTCTGAGAACTAGATAAGTATTTTATTTGACTATGGATGGTACTCTTACAATTTTCATGATAAAAGCTGAAGCCAGTTTTGAAATAAAAATTAACGGAGTTGAGCAAATTGAGTCACCGAAAGCCCTTAATGACTTACTAAGCTTCGAGTAGGGTATGTTATTTTTGGATGGAAAAATCCAACTCCGTGCAGGTGTGATTAATACTTCAGTATACCAAAGTTAAGCATTTCTAGGCATCGGCAGCGTTGAGCGTAGTCGAAGTACGCGCCTGCTATTTAGGCCGGACGGACGAAGTAACGGTGCGTACTGATAAACGACTGATAACAACATGAAGGTACTCTTGCGAACCCCAGCGACATACATTGTTGCACAGCTGACTTCAATAAATCAGCTGTGTAAGCAAAACTTAATAAATTGAATGTATAAGTGTACCTCCCATCACAGAATATGTAGGCCACACGAGATTCCCTTACCCCCTCCCAAGACTGTTTTGAGGGTACAATAACAAGATCTTGTTAAAAATATCAAGCTATTTACGTTTTCATTTTGTACTGTACCTATCACAATTTTAAAGATTTTAATGTCAGCACATTTTCGTATAGTTTCCGATGATACATCTGAACACATACAATAAGTAGGACGTTTAACAAGGGTATCCCCACCTCTTACCCCTACCATCATTCTTTTATCTCATTTAATGTAGTTTCTCTATGCGTATGTTCCATAAGAGATGGTACAGCATAAAAAATGTGAAATCGTAGCTAAAAAACTAATGTTTTGGGATGTTTTATTTGAGTTATTTTTCTACTTCACCTTGCCATGATGATGGGTATTGTCAACCCGGATGTGTTCATTTTTCCTCCAGTACCTTTATTTACTAAGAGGAGCGGGATTTAATTACAGATTTAAATAAGTAATTTTTTATTTATAGAAACTCCTGAAATTTTAGGGATGAATTGAGGATATATAGCCCTAATAGGAGCCCTAATAAGATAATGTTAGGTAGGCTTACTCATTTCCCAACCCTCGACAATTGTTTAGAGTGTATAGTCCCACTAGTTTGTATGTTATTTACATATTATTAGCCATCATCTATTACTATTTGTAATATTATTGTAGCTAGTAAAGGTTTATTTTCAATTGTAATCCTTTTTAGAATTCATTGTCACAAAAAATTGAACGTCCTCTAACCAAGTTAATCATTCAAATCTAGATATCAATAAAAAAAATGGTAGAAACCTGTATTTCTTATCTGTGAGATAAGCTAGGTTTACTCTACCGGCGAACCGTTTTCGCACTTTTCCACCATATCCTTAATTTAAATTCACAAACTTTACCAGAATTTTCACAGAGGCAAACCACAGTGTAATCTTATCGCATTTACCTTGGTAGCTTCGGTCAGATCTGCGACGTCTTCGATGTTTGCATTTAGACATTGTCACGCACTATGCCACGAGCCGCGGACACACTACGCATCTTAGCTACTCACGTCAAGGTTATCCAAAGTGGAGAGGTCACGTAGATATCCACCACTATAGTCACGTATCCAGTCACAGTCACAACACCACACTCGCGGTCCTGCAGGGTTGGTGGTCGAGGAGGCACTGAGGAGGACCGATGCCGTTGGTCACCTGGAGGGGGACGAGATACTAACCTACTTCCCCCCTCTGGTTAACAGTACCGGAGGAGGGGGAGCCGGGTACGCCACCAAATGTCATAAGGTCTTAACGGGTTTGGGCGAAGATTCGGATGTCTAGTAGCTGAGCGTTCTTGGAGAATTAAAATTGAAGGGTTTTTAAATTAATTGATTGTTTTAGACAATAAAAATTTACTGATTTTGTACATCACTTGGCACTGGGGAGGGGTTAGGGAAGGGAAATTGTAGGTATCATAGAGATGAAGAGTGTACATTGTTGAGGTGGTTTTCTAAAGTAGGGTGATTTTTATCACTGATTGGATATTTGATAAATTAATGTAGACTATTACGTGTTGGTTTGGTACACAAACGACACCTTAACGGGTTTGGTATGGTTTGTACCCTGTCTAAAACAACTAATGTCTCTAAGAAGCATGGAAATTGGTCAGGATTTTTTCAAAAGTATGGCGATTCGTATTACTAAAAGGAAATGCTTATTAATTTCACACTAGAAATTATGTTATTGGTTTAGTAAACGACCAACATCTTCGGGTTTGAATCCTGCTTGGAAATTCGTTTGTTTAGTATAATAATAATTGTAATAATTGTATAATAATTGTTTAGTAATGAAGCATTTCCGAACTAAACGTAAAATGATTGTTTAGTTGAAAAGATGCCAAGATTAATTGATTTTTTTTTATACGGTAATAAGGTAAACATGGGATATCCCAAAGCCATTGCTGCAGAGCCTAAACAATTTTTTTGAGTTAAGAATAGGTCGATGTTCAATGGGGAATATAAGCTTTCATCTTCCCAAAATTTCAGTACAATTAGACCCCTGCGGGATTTAGCCCCAAATAAACAAACACGAAATCTTTCTGCTTTATTACACGATGATATATTTTTACAATCGAAGGCTTACACGTCTGGTTCAATTCTTTAAGATATGTAGTTTGTTGGACGAATAGACGTACTTTTTGGTCAGGCGAGTCTTCGATTATAAGGTTGTTTTATCATTTCCTCATCCGAATTAATTAACATTTTATTTTATTGGAGGTTTACCACTTTATAGTCACTGGCTGTACAAAACCATAGACAAAAGAATTAAATATGTTCTTTTTCCCTATGATAAAACGTACGGTATGCAGTTGTAAGTCATAAGTATTACCAGTTAGGCTAATGTATTAGGTACCCAATCTCTAAAATCCCAGAGTGTGTTCTGAATCTTTAGGAGAAATAGTTTATCATTTTCTGGGACTGTTTTAACGCACCCCTTTTTTAGGTGTGGTAATTAGAGTGGTGCTAATTGAAGCAATATTATACACTATTTTGACGCTTGGGTCAGCATAATTCTAAGTACCATGGTGATGTAGTAGTGTTATTCCAAATAACGCAAAACGCAATGCTTCTTGATTATCTAACGGGTCGAGATTTTGGCCTGTATCTAAAACGTGAATAATAATAAATAAACCATTTTATTGAGATATGTTTCGTATTTCAATAACATTATTTCTGAATGCTAAGTTTTCAGGGTTAGTTACAGCGAAATAAAAGTCTGATGTCAAAGTTTTTGAATTTCGATTTACGATTTACTTGATCGTTTACAGTAATATTTCTTCTCACATGAAGGTGCAGATACATGGATTCAGCCAGGGCTCCCATCCTGAAAATATCGGTTTAAATCCCGCTGTTTACCAATAAATTTTAGCAATAGCTACGATAATGCAGTATCCCATACATTTGTTAAAGTTAGAGCATGGGACTTTTATTTTGGATTTGGGTTCAAATCCCGTAAATCGCCAATGTTTCCATTATACCATTATAATCCATTCCAATGGTACGTAAGCTAAATTATAGGCTATTCTCGGAGCGAGCTGGTCTCGAGGTAGAGCTTAGGGCTTCGGAGCTCAAGGTCCTGGGTTCAAATCCCGCCATATCACCAATGGGTTTTATCTATGAGATAATACCGCGAACCTCTATAGTAACCCTGAAGTAATGTGTAAAACAGTTCCGGGCTAGAACCTAGCGTCCTAGGATGTGAAGGGGGGGGGATAAGAATAAAAATCAATTATTGTACCTATCTGGATCACAAATGAGGATAGCAATTTTTGTTTGCACCAGAGATTTTTTTGAATTTTAACTTAATTTCGAAGAAATTAGTTTTGATTCGTACATTTTGGAGCGCTCGCACTGGGAGAGCATAATTAATTTCCTATGGATATTTCTTCTTGCATTATATATTGTTGACCAGTAGACTACATTTCAGAGTAGTGTTCGGTGCAGCACTACTAAGAGATCTTTCTGAGTAACGCTTCCCGAATTACCCAACGTCTCGGGATCATGACCCGCTTCTGAAATGAGACATTCTTCGCCGCAATTATGAAGGCAGTGGGTGCCGTGATTCACATTCAGTTATTCGTGGTACAGTTGTACCATTAGTTAATGGTCAAGCATGGGTAGGTCTGCTCAGTGGTGCCACTACACCAGCGTGGTCACGCTTGTAACTGCAATGCTGCCAACCGTCACTGCACTGCGTGATTTGTAAATCCTATCTGTACACGACCAACAACGGTGCAATTAGGAAAAATAAATTTTAAGATTTTGTATTTGTGGTTTGGGAGTAAGAATTGAACAAAAAACTGTGCGAATTCATTTATAGATAAGATAGATAAGCCTGACTGCAAAACGACCAGGGCAAACATTTGGATCCAATAAGATTAAACATTTCTGTTTGTAGTTGTGATTGTTAGAATAACCTTGTAAATTGCCATTTCCCAACCTTGCAGATATCTATATGTTATAAAGCTTATAAGTACGAAAGGTCTCAATGAGAAACATCCAAGAAAAATATTCATTTTGTAATAAACAAATTTGATTTAAAGAACCCTGAATGAATGGTCTGGATAGGAAATTCCCCAGAAAAATATCCCTTTTTTGTTAAAAATTAGATTTAAAGAACCCTGAATAAAAAGTCTGGATGAGAAACTTCCCAGAAAAATATTACTTTTTACATTTAAACAATCCCGAATAAATAATCTGAATAAGAAACTTCTCAGAAAAAATTACTTTTTTGATAAAAAAAATAAGATTTTAAGGGCCCTAAATTAAAGGTCTGAATAAGTAACTTCTCAGAAAATATTCCTTGTTTGATAAAAACTACATTTAAGGAACCCTGAATAAAAGGTCTCTATGAGAAATTCCCCAGAAAAACATCCCTTTTTTGTTAAAAATTAGATTTAAAGAACCCTGAATAAAAAGTCTGGATGAGAAATTCCCCAGAAAAATATCCCTTTTTGTTAAAAATTAGATTTAAAGAACCCTGAATAAAAAGTCTGGATGAGAAACTTCCCAGAAAAATATTACTTTTTACATTTAAAGAATCCCGAATAAATAATCTGAATAAGAAACCTCTCAGAAAAAAGATTAGTTTTTTGATAAAAAATAAGATTTTAAGGGCCCTGAATGAAAGGTCTGGATAAGAAACTTCTCAGAAAATATTCCTTGTTTGATAAAAACTACATTTGAGGAACCCTGAATAAAAGGTCTGTATGAGAAATTTCCCAGAAAAATATCACTTTTTTGATAAAAATAAGATTTGAAGGACCCTGAATGAAAGGTCTGGATGAAAAACTTCCAGAAAAATATTACTTTTTTATAAAAAAATATATATTTAAAGAACCCTAAATGAAAGGTCTGGATGAGAAACTTCCCAGGAAAATATTCCTTTTTAGATAAAAACTAGTTTTAAAGAACCTCATTATCCTCTTTATCCTCATCCTGTTGCGAAGCACATGCAGAGAAAGTGGTCATATAATGGTTTTATGAACGGCAATAAATAAATTTAGGATATTTAAATTATTTTGTATTTTCCAATAAACTATAGTTGTTTCAGTTTAGCAAAATGTACGTAACTGTAAGATGCTGTATGATAAGGTTTACATTTTAGTCAAGTTAGTACTAATCTACTCAAGAGATGCTATATCTATCTATTAATATCTATAATGCGTGAAACCTTTTTTTTTGTGAACACTACTCCTCCCTTATTTATGGACCAATTTCATACGGTATTTATGGAAGTTGGAGGTGCAATTTTTTGCAATAAGGTTTTAGAATTAAAAAATCAAACCCTTAACAGTAAGATGCACTCTCAAAGGTCGATTTTTCCCCCAATAAGAAGGACATGGCACAAATTAAAAAAAACAGCTGTTATTAAAAAGAAACTTAGCAGTTTTTTTTGGGAGTAATTGATGTTTGTAATAGTCAGGAGGTTATAGACCAATCTAAGCAGTTTACCAGCTTTGTTGGAACGTTGGAAGGACAGAAAACGCATCAAGTTCAAAGAAGAAATATTAAAAATAGGAGGAGGAGACATTTAATAAGAGATCGTATGAGAAGAGAGGCCTGGCAGTAAGGAATCCAGATACACACTCACTGGGTGAGATGAATAATATTTTCTAGTTTAGCTATGCAACTTATTTTGAAAGTAGTAAAAATAAACTACGAATATACACATCGTGTTGTAAACTTGCCTAATGTCGGATCAAATTAATACATGCAAGAATATTTACGGTAACAGCTGAGCGTAAATCAGAAAACATTTTTAGAAAAGCCTATGGCCAGCTTCTCAAAAATTATTAAATATTTACAAAAAGTGTTTATTATATCAAACTAACATTATTAACAGCGTGAGTGTTTCCATTAGTTACATAAGTTTTTTAGTTGAGTCTTTTAAATTCATCAATAAATATGACTTAAAAATAACTCCAATACCGGTATCTGACAATTGCTCGATTTCGAGTAATAGGTACACTAGTAATCTTTATATTAAACTCTTTATTCTGTACTTTTACTCCCTCCAACTGCTCCAGAGATCCTATAGCCAAGGTTAGTGGAACCTTGATAAGAAGACCCTCGATAACAAGTCGCCCTTGATAACAAGTGTCGTTTTCAAATCCC